TCAAATGTCCTGGAGTGACATGAACCACCCAACTCCTGCCCACTTTGTGTGGTGAGACTACAAAAATAGGCTCTAGTGGGGCTGAAGCCATTCCCAAAGGCAGGAGCTCTCCAGGCACCCTATTTTGGCAATTCACTTCCCCTCTGGGACACTGTGATTCCCTATGTAGATCAACAGACATCTTTCAGATTATCTTTTGATGAGTGAGGCAATGGCTTTTAGCAACTACTGTCTCCTTTGTCACTCCCAATGTCTTCCTGCCCACTGGTGTCCACACTGCTACAGTGCTCCACTTGATTGACATCTTACACATTATCAAAAAAAAGAATTTCAGTCTTCCCATTTTATTGTGTCTGGGGCTTTCAATATACTCCTGAGATTTTTGGGTGCCGTATGGCTTCAAATGCAGTTTGATGGCAGGTTTTTCCCAGTTGCATACTCCTGTACACGTAGTTCTTCAGCATCCTAGAGATGATGCTGTTTCAGCAGCTCTGTTTTAGCAGTGTCTCGTTGTCATCTGAGAACAACTGTCTCTGCTAAGGACAGGAGCCCAGGATAGTGTCTCCAACCAATCCTAACTAAAACTTTTACCTGTTATTTCAGTGCCAGTATTACCAAGGTTTCAGCATTCAGTAGCTATTCATTTATTGTAATGGGTAGAGTGTAAACATTTTATAGGTAGATTTACTGCCAGCCTACCTTCTGCTCTTGCCCATGACAGTAAAGGTGAATATATCATCCAGTAAGCATCCGATGCATAAGACGGCTTTTTAACTTCTACTTCTGCACCGGTAAAATTTGGCCTCTGCTATACAGTTGGACTTGAATTTATGTTCATGGTCATGAAGATGAATTACATGTAAGCAGTTTTAATGGTGTCTTTCTAGATCACCAGGATGATGATGATCATGACGATGATGATGATGATAATGATTATTATATTGGAACATTATTTCGAGAAACAGATCAAAATTTACAAATGGGTGAAACCTAAAATTCAGTGTCAATTGTTGGTGCCAGCATAGAGAGACAGCATTGAGGGCTCAGCTGTCAACATCAGGACATGTCAGGCTGCCAAGTGGTGGGGGTGCAGGAAGAGGCAGGGCAGCCCAGAAAGGAGCCAATGGAATATGGACAACCAAAGATAAAAGAGGAAGAACCAGGAATAAAATAGCATGGGGGAGTTTTGTTGAACGGGCACAACCTAAGGCATAAAGGTGAGAGACAGGTAGTTATGGGGAGTCTACAGGGAGATTTGAGATGCAGTAAGATACAAGGGAATGGTGAGGCTGTTAGGATGAATTTGAAAACGCAGTGAAGTGACCCTGGCACAGACATCTATTGTCAAATGGCCTCTAAGAAAGAGCTTGATTGAACAGCTGTCCAAATACCTTGACTGAACAGAAGGAAGTTCAATAATCCAAGAGGAAACAGCCTAAAAGAAGTTTTCAGTGTTTTCGCCTTGAGTCTCACTCTGCAGAAATCATTTTTTCAAACATCCTTCATCTCTTTACCAGCCTACCAAACAGCCAGGCGTAGCTGGAAAATAAGTCTGTTTGGAACAACAAACATCAAGGTGATTTAGGGGGAGAGAGAGAACTGCTTGGCTAGTTTTCCTTGTCTTTATTTTTAACTTCGCAATGAAAGGGAGGGAAAATTTCTTGGTAACAAAAATAAAAACAACAATGCCTTTCAGAGCTGTTACCACCTCATGAAAAGGGCTAGGCCAGAGAGTAGGTAAAAGCTGTTGAGACTCTTCAAAAGAGGAGGAATCTGACACTTGCATGACATTTTCAGTTTAACACTGACCTCCTACTTCCCTGCTACTGAAGGGTTCATCAGCTACCAGATGCTTTTAAGAGCCTGGGGGAATGAAATGAAATATTATTTTTCCTGTCTAGATGCTCCACTTTAAACCATTTACAATCACACTTTTTTTTTTCTTTTAAAAGCCACTGTACTTTGCTTTAAAAAATCTTCAGTGTTGCTGAAGAAAAAAAAAGAAAAAACTAAAATTCAGTATCATTCTGCAGACCTAGTCTGCTTTTTACCAAATTGCTTCTGTATCTCCTAAAAGCTTTGATGAATCTGATGAGAGACAAAGGTTGAGACAGAGACCAAGTGAATCTCAAGCACATAGTAAAGTTTTGCTCTCTGACTGAATAAATTGTGAGGGAACTGGTTTGAAGTTTGCTGTAAGTCTGATGCTTGTTCATCTCCCTAAATCAAAGTAAATTTCACAATGTGTGGTCACAGACTTTTATGGTCCATTAGTTTTACTAGCCTTTATTGCACGCACACTGCCTCTATACAGAGACCTAATAAGATCAAAAGAACTTCCACATCTAACATAAATGTGAGTATAGAAAAACAAACGAGACCTGAATGTTAGGATTTCTAAACCAGTGGACTATTTATGCGTTTGGACTGTGTTCCCACAGTCTTGGTAAACCTATGCCTGATAAGCTTTACCATCATGGAGAATTGTATCATCATCAATTCGATTTTTCCCATCTTTGGATAATACATTCCTCTTGGTAAGATCTTGGATGTCTTTATATAAATATAAACAACAGTGATTACATAGGTCCTCTGTGCTGTTCGAGACAAAACATATTAAAACATTTGGGTCACCACAACCTGGTGCATTGCTATAGGCCTGGGGCAGAGTGGCTGGAAAGCTAAATGGTGAAAAAGGTCCCAGGGATGCTGATTGACAGCAGCTGAACATGAGCCAGCGGTGTGCACAGGTGGCCAAGAAGGCCAATGGCATCTTGGCCTGTACCAAGAACAGTGTGGCCAGCAAGACCAGGGCAGTGATTGTCCTGTTGTACTCAGCAATGGTGAGGCTACACCTGGAATCCTGTTCAGCTCCAGGCCACTCACTACAAGAAAGACACTGAGGTGCTGGAGCGTGTCCAGAGAAGGGCAATAGAGCTGGTGAAGGGTCTGGAGCACAGGTCTTTTAGGGATTGGCTGAGAGAGCTGGGGTTGTTTAGTCTGGAGAAGAGGAGGCTCACAGGAGACATTTCTCTCTACAACTACCTGAAAGGAGATTGTAGCAAAGTGGGGATAGGTCTCCTCTGCCATGTATCAAGTGAAGGGACAAGAGAAAATGGTCTTAAATTGTGCCAGGGGTGATTCAGATTAGATATTAGCATATTTTTTTTAAACTGAGAATGCTTAGGCATTGAAATAAGTTGCCCAGGAAGGAGTCACCATCTCTGGAACTGTTCAAAAAGGCATCTGAATGTGGCATTTGGAGATATTGTTTAGGGGTGATTATGCTGGTGCTGGGTTGACAGTTTGACTAGATGGTCTTGAAGGTCTCTTCCAACCTTAATGATTCTGTGATTTAAGGAGACAGGGTTTTGAAGTTATCATAAATAGCAATAGATGGCCCTGACGTTGAGTATATGGCTGAATTCATTCCAAGGACTCTCTCTTCAAGATGTCAGTGTTAAGCCCCTTGAGTAAATGACCTCTTTTGTCCTCACACTCTGGCCATCAGTTAAGCCCTCATATTCATCTGCAGTAGCAATCAAAAATCATCTAGTATGGACAGAGACAAGCAAACTTAATCCCTTGATTCAGAAGTGTTTGCAGACCTTGCCAAGAAAAGCCTATCACTCTTGATTTAGCATCAAGTCGCAAAATAAACAATCCCACAAAATTGCATTTCTCCACTTGGGCACTGCAAACAAAACCCAAATGAATGAGTGTTTATTAGAATGAGCTTGACAAATAATGACTTCTCACCAGTTGGCTATTCATGTTTTACCATTTGCTATAAGGGAAATCTCCTTAATAATGTACTTTGTTACACAGAGATTGTTGACAGGTTCCCTAATGGTAATAGGTGTTCGTCAGAAAGGACTTGTAAATGAAAATTGTGATATACATATTCATTTTCAGAAAAGTCCAAATTGTAAAGATTGAATTAGGCACATGAGTTACTTTGGTTTTACTTGGAGGTTTTTTGGCAGAATTATCTGAATAGAGAACAGTTTCAGTCTTGAAAATTGGCTGAGACCTGAAGAAAAACAACCTAAAGCTATGTAGTAATAGGCATGCAGGACTGAAATCTCTCTATCACCACATATATTCCTAACTTTTTGATGATACAGTCAGCATATTCCAGCATTTGAAGTGAAGCTTGAACGAGTTTCCTCTTTGCCACAACTTTTCAGCAACTAGTTTATTTCCTTCTCTTTGTTATTTTGAAAATATTATGGGCTTCCAAGACATCCAACATCTTGCAACGTATCACTGCATTTTTCCATTAAGAATGCTGAAAATTAAAACTGTCAGCTAAAATATGTTTTAGAGTCAAGTTAACTGGTTACATCTCACTGATTAATGTCAAGGTCGAAAACTGTGAGCTCACTAAGTCCACAAGGAACAACTCTCTAATCCCAGAACATTCAGATGTAGTTTAAAGCAGTTGTAGGGAAGAAGAAAAAAAAAGAAAACACCATGTGAATACCAATTTCTCCACGACTGTACTATGCTCAGAGTTTTCAAGAAAGAAATTGTTCCAAACACAAATAATATGAGAATGAACTTCAGAAAAGCGGAATGGCTAAAACATGCAAAAAGCTTCCCAGAAAAGCTGCTGTAACTCAAACTGACTTACAATGGTCCATTCTCTTCGTTGAGGCCTTTTAGAAATGCAAAATAGAAGACATGCAGACTTCCATACAGATCCTTGCAAAAAGTCCAGCAACAGAACACAAATGATTTTCTGATTATTACAATGGAACAACTGATTACAATTGCATATAATTTCTGTAAATTTGAAAGGAGAAGCCAGAGACAGAGAAGTTGAAAGAGACAGGGAGCAGTGTCTGTTTCCCACTCTCTATTACATCCGTCTAGTGGTAAAGGCGCCGCGCTATCACCGCGGAGACCCGGGTTCGATTCCCGGTCAGGGCCACTCCCGGGCAGGTGGGGCTCGTTAGCCCTTAAAGGCAACCCACCTACGTCCTAAGGACTGCTGCCACCGTCCAAGCTCGCTTGGCCCCGGCAGATGAACCTTAGGATTAAAGGGTGGGCTCAGTTCCGCGCACACTGTGTCTCACCTAAAAAATCCAATGCGCAGGCTGGAAGGTGGAAAGACCTTCCCCGGATCTTCGCTCGCGAAGACTGGCCATTATATTATTATTATTATTACATCCTTCGATGACTTTTAGTTGTGGGAGACCTTTAACTCTAGAGAGGGATTTATCTTATATGGATGTTGCTGATATGCACACCTCTGTCTAGAAATGTATCTTGAGCTAGTTGCCTTAAACTCCTTAGATGAAAGAAATATGTATTTTCAGGCAGGATTCACCCCACCTATTTTGCACATCTGCTTTAAAATACATTAAGACTTCAGGAGAATCCTGTTCTTTATATTGTCTGTAAACGGAATCTCAAGGATTCAGTCGGAAGCTGAAGTTTACACTAGAGATGTCTAAGATTAGATAAGTTAAATCTTACTCCTAGGGTCTATAGAAAAGCACGCAAACTTCTCTGGCATGGAGGAAAGGGAAATCTTTGCCTGAGGAGACTACAGGAGTGTGTCATAAAAAAAACTATTAAGTTTTCTGGCTGATGCCTGCAATCAAGGTGACATCTGGCTCACACTGTGCAATTTACCTGTTTGACTTGAAGAACTCAGATCTACTTCTTGCCAAGCCCAGGCATTTGGTCTCTAAGGCGTAAGTCTGAAGGAGATGTTTTTGGAACGCTGAGAAGGGCAAATCTGAGTCTCTCACTTTCCAGGCAAGTCATAAACTCTAAGTAATCCTTTAAGGTGGTGATGGCAGGGACAGCACTGTTGGTCAGGTAAATGGAAAAAACCAATACTGGTCGGATTTTTTGAAAGACCAAAGCAAGGTCCTGGACCATGAAACATACTAGGATGAAGCCATCAGCACTGAAAATTAGGATGTCTTTCATAATGTCCCTGCACTTACTGAGATCTCCCATTTTTGTGTTTCATTCTGGATTGCCATGTCTTCCTAGGAAAGCTGCTCTGAATCACTCTCTGCAAGCCATTTACCTTACCAGGTATGTTCTGTGACACTCAAGTCCTTTACTGAATGTAGCCCAAACCCCATCTGTGGCTTGGACTGTCCCTCCACCAAGTTTTGGAAATAAGATGTCTATGGATATTTGAAAACTGTGTCTTTATACACATTATGAAGTCAGGAATTCCTGTCAGTAGGTAAACAGAGAAATTAATACAATCAAATTTTTATTCCCATCCTCTTTACTCCCACACAGTATATTTAAATATTCCCTCAAGTACATTATCAAAAACACAATAAAACCGTAGCCAATGATAATGATGAGTGATGAGAGAAAAGTGTCTGGCAGCTGTCTAATAGAATGTAATCACTCAACAGGAAGTGTCCCGTACCATTTAGTATCAGTATCTCTCAGGATCATTAATTTTTTTCAGATTTCAATATCCAGAAATCATCCATCCAATTTTTTCCAGTTAATAAAATTTTTCTTTCTTTTGTCCACAGTTATTGACAAGACTATTATCTAAATGAGTATTAGCTCTTTCTTAATTAGCAGGCAATTCAGCTGTGAATTGCACACAAAACCTTGTCTATTTTAATAAATGGTTACATTGCTTTACCAGTGCTGAGCAATTAATTAACTCAGAAACTACATTCCAGTTTTCACACATTTTCCTGGCATTTGTATTGTGTACTGACCAATGCCACCATCACATTATCTAAGAGTCTTAGTCCCAATCTAGATTGTTTATGAAATATCAAAAAACAGAGTCAATTAATAGCTTGGAATAGGAATTCTCTTCTGCCCCCAATTTTCCATACTCTTCAAGAGCAGCCACCTGACATCTATCTGCCTAAGTGGAGTCCAATTACCTGTACACATGTGGAGAAAACTGTGTATCTCAAAGAAACATTTGAAGACCTCTGCTTTCAGATCATTCTCCCCTGATTTCCTATGCTTATTTAGTATGTGTAAACAAAGCCTGGGGCTTCAGACCTGATTCTTTACAGTCATTCACAGCAGTGAATATAATGCAGGTCTAACCCTTCACAGAAGCTGCCCAGGACATTTGTCAGCTTCAGGAGGGCTGTACTAACTTATACCGTCTTCAAACCCTGCTTGTGGTATTTTACATTTGCTTTGCCATAGCACGCACAATTACACAAGCTGCAGGGCAGAAAAGTGAATAATTCAAGCCTCTTTCCTCCTCCACCCACATCTTTTATTTGCATGTAAAACACCTACTCTGTTGCCAGAGATATATAGCTAGGTAACATAAGCAAACTAATGAGGTATAGCCTTGAGGCGTGTCAGCTCAATATGTGCCTCAAAAGCATCTACCTTTTGAAACATGGAAGTGCTGTTCAAATATTGTTCCTGTTTTTGTTAACTAATAAAAACCACATGAAAATATAACACCAGGTCACCCACTGTTTATAAGCTAAAACAGTTCCATACAAGATTAATAGGTAGCCTGAGTGGGCAGCCTGCACGGTCTGTCCTGGGTACCACAATTTTTAGGATTGGTTTTTCATCAGGCATCTCAGGAAATGTTTGTCTTATCAATGAACACTGTGCATAGGTTGACAAAGCATAATGCAGTCCCATTTCATGTAGGGTCGTTTTGACTTGTCAACTAAAGTAGAAGAATGCAAGTAATTTATATGAGAATTTTACATTAGAGCATTGAATGCATTCTAGTTTTGATTAGGAGGACAAGAACTGGTTTGCAACAAGACCTAATATGCCTCTTGCAGCACAAGGGACATCAAGGATTCTCACATTAAAAGGGGAGCATTGCAACTGATTCTGATTCATGGCTGTCCACTCTTCACTGGACCCTTCAGATATTTAAGCTGTGAGCTTCCCTTTTATAACTGTGGCCCATCTTTCTCCTGTCTGCATCCATATACATTCTGCTGAGCTTGAAGCTTGTCCTGAATCATTCTACTTTCTCAGTCTAAGGAAATACACACAAGTTTTTAGAAGACTTAGATGCTTAGCTCCATTCCAAAGTCCAAGCATCAAACAGTTTTACCTAAGGTGAAAGAGTTAACATGGGATGTTCTCAAGCAGATGCAAGCATCCTCTCACCAGTTGTTTGCCTGATAATGACAACTGCTCTGTCTTTATCAATGTCACACATCAAACCAGTAACAAACGTTCAAATAATGTTTTTCCACTAGGCATTTAAGACATATGCTTCATAAACCACAGCTTGCATATAGATGCAAAAACATGCCCATGACAGTTTGCAATTTTCAGATAACAAGGCTATTAGTTAAGAGGTTTAGTGAGATATTTTAAGTTATATAGCAAGCCCCTAGCAGAGCTAGAAATAGAGTACATATATTCAGCTCCTAGCACAATGTTTGCTACTTAACAGTCTTGTCTTTTTACCCCCAGAAGCTACCTGGAACAGCAGCTTCAGTGCTCAAACCAGATTTTGCTCTATTTCATGTTCTCTTTTACTCAACTACTAACAAATCTAGCTCAGAAAAAGGATGGGGTTATATTCTCAACAGGTATAAGCCACTCGAGCTTCATTACAAACAGCTAGCTTGGTCTTCACCATAAGTAAAAAGATTATTATTACATTTTTCTATCAGGCACATAAATATAATTTAGATCCTTTTTCAAATGCTCTCTTTTATTAGGATGACAAGGACTTTATGTAGATAAAGTCTTCTTCACTAAACTGTCAATTTATTAGTTGACACAGGCATTCTTATCTGACCGATAAAAGGATGATCTAATGTTCTTTTTACTTAACCACCCTATTTTTATTCATATGTTAAATACTGTCTCAAAGATCATTTACTTTCAGAGTCACAGTATCACAGAATATTCCTTGTGGGTACAAGGGTTATCAAAGTCCAACTCCTGGCCCTGCAGAAAAACCATTGTTTACCATCACAGTAAGCTTTTCTAAGCTTTTCTAGAAGATTGGCATGCTATACCTCCTAAACTGGTAGGTTTGATTGCTGATAAAGTGAATAACCTTAGAAATTTTGTGGCATTCTCCAATAAGCCTCACCAAAGTTGTAGCATTAGCATGCAGGCACATGTGCCCTGACCCCACAGCTGCCACTCAAATGCAATCCTGGTGAAATAATGATAGCTGCAGTGTTTCATCAAAATGTAAATTCCATGACAAAAGACTGCTGACACGAGCCAAAGAGGAAAGTCCGCATGGGACCAGGCTGAGGAACTCTGACTCCTTCATTTGTAGCTATTATCAGTACAGAGGTCCTAAGCACTGTTGTTAGGATGGACTAACAGAGACCAAGAAGGTACTTGTCTCACCCAAAGCTGGAGACGGTTTGGATTAGGATCTGCAGCTCCTAGACCTGCATTTAAATAAACATTTTTCATAATTTGGAAACACGACGTGAAGCCTCTCCCCATTTCTGAAGCAATCGCGTTGCCTCACTGGCAGGCGCTGTTTTGTCCCGGTTTTGGCTGCTATTGTGAAGGTGACCAAGAGAGGGCACCCGGCCCTTGGCCACACAGCTCCCCCTGTGAGAGCTCCAGCCCGTGGTGCGGGCACAGCCGGCTCCGCTCCTCGGCGAGATTCTCGCCAGCACAGAAAACTAATGTGTCCATTGATCCGCAAGAATCAACCAGCCACTATGCAGCAAGCGCCCCAAATGCTCTGGGAGAAGGGAATTTCTGGCGTGGCTGCACAGTTGTCCCTCATGAACTGGGTCCCATGCACGGATGAACAGGCACACAAATTACTTTCTCCAGAAATACCTGTTTTTATTTAAAAGCGAGATGAATCAGAAATAGCCCTGATGATTTTCATGCCTCAGGTGTTCCGGGAAGCAGGCATGTGTGCTGGTGCTGAGGCTGACAGGACAGGACAGGTTTATTTGCTTGCCCTTCTTGATATAGTAAGTGGCATTTGATAAATCGTTGTCAGACCACTGAAATCTAATAACATGGATCACTACAAGATGATTACAGCCCCTGAACATTACTGGTACTATATGAGTGAATAATAACCTTGCTGTCTTTGACAAGGGGATACATAATCCTCAGGGTATTCAGGGACAAGGTGTGATTTCTACAACTTGGTCAGGAAGAGC